TATATATATATATGTATATTTTTAATATATAATGGAGAAAATAAGGGTAGGACACTTTAATCAGTTGCATGGAAGAGCCCAGCACTTGTAGCATAAAATTTCTGCCTTCCAAATTAATCTCCTTAATGCTCCAACAAATGGATAACTTTTCAAAGCTTATTGGAATTGAAACAATTTTTTTTTAAGTAGGGCTCAAACCCAGACTTCATACAGGCTAGGCACAGGCTCTACTATAGAACCTCATCCTGAGAAACTCTTCTTTGGTTCCTTCTAAATTCCTACCAAAATCATTCAGAAATTCCAACTCACAGAACATTTTATTCATACAAGATGTATAATGTGTAAGTTCAGAATTTTAAAGTGCTTTTTTGATGTTTTTAATAGGTATTTTAATAACTTCTGTAGAGAGAAATAATTCTTTAACTAAAAATTAAAATGAAGGCTGAGAATACAGCTCAGTCGATAGCCCTGGGTTCAATCCCCAGCACCACATAAAACAGACATGGCTCATATGCCTCAATCCTAATACTTCTGAGGTGGTAACAGGAAGGTCAGCAGTTCAAGATCACCATTAGCTAGACGGCAGGTTCAGAGTACTGGCAGCAGTAAGGAAATGTCAACCACAAAATGCACAGGATGAAGAAGCAAGGCCTGGCTCCAAATGCACATCCTCACAGGTGTCACCCAGTACACGAGGACCTGCACAGTAAGGACTTTGTGGACTGGCAGGTGGGCTGTTTCCTGACACCCTGACTCTCCACCACAGAAGGGTCAGCATCCAACAAAGACCCTCAGAACACAAATGCATGCTCGCAACTGGGTTGGCCCAGCCCCTAGTCCCTCCAGCGGTGTCCACACTGAGCATTGCAGCACTTGTAGAAAGTGGTCATTGGCTCATCTGCAGAGCGGGTCTGAAGCTGCATGAAGTAGGCACGGGGATGCTCACATTTTGGACATGGCTCTGACAAGAAGAAAAACCAAGTGATTCATAAGTAGCACAAAAATAGTAGGAATACATCTAAGTGTAGGTAAAGACCTCACCCCCATGCTCATCTGGCTTCCCTTGCCAATGGTTAATTTGCCAACAGCAACATCCTTCCCACAGCATACCAACACTGAGGAGACTAGAGAGACCTGTGACCATTTTATGGTGCTATAACAAAATACCTGCCCTGTGTGGTGGGTGGCACAGTTATAATCCCAGCACACAAGAGGCTTAGACAGGAGAGTTGTTGCAAAGCCAGCTAGGGCTACATAGCAAGATCCCATCTCAAAAATGGACAGATGGTTAAAACAAATTTTAAGTGTAGCGTGGTGGCATACCCCTTTAATCTCAGCACTCAGGAGGCAAAAGCAGGCAGATTTCTGAGTTCAAGACCAGCCTGGTTTACGTAGCAAACTCCAGGCCAGCTGGGGCGAAGGAGTGACATCCTCTCAAACAAAAAAAAATGGCTTTTTTTTTTTTTATGTGTGTGTATATATTGCCTGCACGTAGGTAAGTACACCTGTGTCATGCAATGCCCGTGGAGGTCGGAAGAGGCTGTCGGATCCCCTGGGACTGGAGTTATGGACAGTTATTAGCTGCCATGTGGGTGCTGGGATTTGAACCCGGGTCTTCTGCAAGAACAACCAGTGTTCTTAACCGCTGAGCCATCTCTCCAGCCCACAAACAAAAAACTTTAAGCCTCTACTCATTTCCCACTCTCAGAGATTCTATTGTTCTTTGGTTTTATAGAACAAGTTCTTGAGGGTGGCCTGGAATTCTATGTAGACAAGATGTTCTTGAACTCCTGATCCTCTTACCTCCACACTGCTAGAATTACAGCAGTGTGCCACCACACCTGACCAACGCTAACTGCTAAATTTTAACATAGCAGATCTGTACATTCTCTGTAGAAAAAAAGACTGTTAATCACAGGCATGCTCTTCCTTACAGACAGGTCATACTTGGGGCCTCTTCTTCCTCCTGAATCACATTTGGTCTACCAGACATGAATCAAGACTGAAATATTTACTTTTTCCAGCCTGTATTTTAATGTTCCCCAATTATAACTTTTTTTTTTTTTTTTTTTGGTCTTTTTGAGACAGGGTTTCCTTGTAGCCCCAGCTGTCCTGGAACTCACTATGTAGACCAGGCTGGCCTTGAACTCACAAAGATCCACCTGCCTCTGCTTCCCAAGTGCTGGGATTAAAGGCATGTACTATCATGCCCAACTACTTTCTTTCTATCTATCTATCTATCTATCTATCTATCTATCTATCTATCTATCTATCTATCTATTTGAGCCTCCAGCCTCCACTTTCAGTACTGGGATTACAAGGTTGAGCCACCATGCCCTGCCCCCAGTATTGACTCTTAAAAATCCATACAGAAGAAAAAGACCAGGGCTGATCATTTTTTAGTACTGGCACTTGAGAATACATATGGCACGACTCAGCAGGCGTGGTGGCACATGCCTTTAGTCCCAGCACTTGGGAGGCAGAGGCAGGAGGATCTCTGAGTTCAAGGCCAGCCGGGGGCTACAGGGAGACCCTGTCTCAAAAAGACAAAAAAAAAAACCTTTTTGTAATGAACTCCAAATTTGCTTCAAAGAGAGTATGTATATATATATTCTGAATTACATTTGAAAATCAAATGAAATAACAATGTAGGTATCAGTATGAGAATTTTCCCTTTGACATATTTAATTCTTTCTGCAAATCTGCTTTTACAATTTTCTTTCTTCTTTTTTTTTGGTCTTTTTGATACAGGGTCTCCCTGTAGCTCCAGCTGCCTAGAACTCACTCTGTAGACCAAGCTGGCCTCGAACTCACAGAGGATCTGCCTACCTCTGCCTCCAGAGTGCTGGGATTAAAGGCGTGAGCCACCACGCCCGGCTTTTTTTGGTATTTTTGAGACAGGGTTTCCCTGTAGCCCCAGCTGGCCTGAAACTCACTATGTAGACCAGGCTAGCCTCGAACTCACAGAGATCTGCCTGCCTCTGCCTCCCAAGTGCTGGGATTAAAGGCATGCGCCACCATGCCCGGTCTTGCTTTTACAATTTAATACCTTGCTTAGAGTTTAAAGAGTGACTATACTGTGACTAAAAATGTATCATCAGCTGGGTGTGGTGGTCCATGCCTTTAATTTCAGCACTCAGGAAGCAGAAGCAGGCTGATCTCTGAGACTGAGGCCAGCCTGGTCTACATGGTGAGTTCTAAGCCAGCCGGGACTATCGCGACACCCTATCTCAAAATATCAAAAAACAAAAAACTTAAAATAAACGTATCATCAAAATATTTCTTGCACTGGCCAATGCACACTAGACAGAATATTATTTATCATTTTATTCATTCATTATATTTTTTTTTAATATTTTATTATTTTTATTTTATATGTATGAGTATATTGCCTGCATGTAGGTAAGTGCACCCATGTGCTGCAATGCCTGCAAAGGACAGAAGAGGCCATTGGATCCCCTGGAACTGGAGTTACGGACAGCTGTTAGCTGCCATATGGGTCCTGGGATTCGAATCCGGGTCTTCTGCAAGAACAGTCAGTGTTCTTTACCGTTGAGCCATCTCTCCAGTCCCATCATTCACTATATTTTCTTAAACTGTTTTTACATTTACTTATTTACTTATGTTAGGGGGTGGCATACGTGTGCCACCATATATGTGAAAGTCAGAGAACAACTTTGCTTGAGTCCACGCTCTTCTTCTACCACATGGGCTCCAAAGAGCAAACTCAGGCTTGGCAGTAAGCACTTTTACGTACTGAATCATCTCAGTGACCTAATTATTTTAATTTAAAAAAAAAAAAAAAAAAAAGGCCAAAGCTGCACATATGGCTCAAGGTACTGAATGCCATCCCCAGCACCATAAAATACAAAAAGACTATTTTTGTAGTGTCTGACTTTTATTTGTCACTGTTCTGCCATCAGAGCTACAACCTATTGAGTGCCCCTTGTATGACAAGCACTGTGTAAAAACTTCTTGCTCTTGCAACTTGTATACAGATTTTCCACAAAGTGGAGAGCCACACCAGAGTTCTATAATCAGAGGCTATTCTGAGACTCTAATCCCAGAGTATAACACTAAGACTTGTACCAATATTGTGCAACAAACTTTTTAAAACAGCAAATTATTGATGGAAAACACAGTTTCCATTTTTAGAATCCTGCATCATGAAAGTACACACTAGCCTCTGACGAGCAGTGGCACAGTCAGGCAAACCTGAGTCCCTGGTTCAGAAACAAAGCCATCCTCACCTGCAGTGGAGTCCACATTCTCCCAGGCGGCGGCTCCCCCAAGTACATCATCCACTTCTTTTAGCTTTGGATACTTCCGGTTTGTTACCTACCAACAAAAACAAGCCTTGAGACTCCAATAATGTAACAGTATTGAGCAAAGGCCACCAAACCACAAGAGCAGAGAAGTGCCCTTATACGGCAGATGGTGATTAACAGAGAACCACAACTGGCCAACAGGCAGAGAATAAGAGGCTGCGGACTGCTTATCCCTTAATTAGATACTTATATTAATATTAAATTTCTGCCTCCCAAGGCTCAGACATCATTATGGAAGATGGGGCAGAAAGATTGTGAGAGCCAGAGGAGGTGGATAACCACAAGGAAACAAGTTTTCCAGACAGCTGGTCAGTTGTTCATATAAACTCACAGCAATGGTGACAGCATTGGACAAAGACAACATAAGCTCAAGTCAGACAAAAATCCCAGCATAGACATGGGGAAGTGGGTAAGAAACGGAACTGTACCTGAGGAACTATTGGCAACCAATGGCTGAAGGGGAGATTCAGTCTCATTTAAGGGTGAGACTCTTAGAAGGTTGACCAGGTTCCACTTAATGAACCCACACCAAAGGGGCATTTAGGGTCACAAACCTGACTCTAAAGGTGGGGGACTAGTAAAGGGGAGGTACAGATAGAAAAGAGGATCTAAATATGATCAAAATATATTTCATGAAATTCACAAAAATTCAATTAAAAACTTAATTTTAAAAAGTTTTAAGGGGCTGCAGAGATGGCTCAGTGGTTAAGAGCACCGAGCTCTTGCAGAAGACCCAGCACCCACTGGCAGCTAACAACCATCCATAATAAATAATTTTTTTTTAATTTTTAAAGAATAAGGTATCACCCAGGCCTGTTGCTACACATCTGTAATCCCAGGCCATTGAAGTAAGAGGAACTAGAACTCGAGGCTAAACTGGGCATAGTGGTACCCCCTTTTAATTCCAGCACTTGGGAAGCAGAGGGGTGTTCCTCTGAGATCTAGGCCAGCTTAGTCTACATAGTGAGCTCCAGGCCAGCGAGGGCTACAAAGTGAAATCCTGTCTCAAAACAAAGAATTCAAGGCTAGCCAAAACACCCAGGGTGGGAAAGTAAAGTTGGATTATCACGGGGAAGTGACAAGGTATGAGACAGTGTGCACTATGTACTTACAGAACTCTCACTAGTCTACAGTCCACACTTGAAGCATTCAGACACAGGAGACAAGACAGAACAATGGGCCCTCCTAAGTTTACATCCTAGTATTACTAAAGCACATAGCAAACTACACGAGACATATCATACAGCAATGAGACCCATGGAAAAGAAGGAACAAGAATGAACTGAAGTGGCTATTTTTGCTGTTATTGACTTTCTTCTTTTATGTCTCCATGAAGCCCAGGTGGGCCTTGAACTGACAGTCTCTCAAGTAATGGGATTAGAGGTGTGCACCAACATGTATGGTACAAGGGCTGGGGTTTAATATTTTATTATTTTTTTATGTATGAGTGTATTGCCTGCATGTATATAAGTGCACCCGTGTTGAGCAATGCCCTCTGTCCAGAAGAGAGTATTGGATTTCCCTGGAACTGGAGTTACGGATGGTTTTTAGCTGCCATGTAGGTGCTGATAATTGAACCCAGGTCCTCTGTAAGAGCATCCAGTGCTCTTAACCACCGAGCCATCTCTCCATACCCTAGGGCTGGGGTTTTTAATAGGGTAATCAATATAAGAAGTGAGACCAGGGAGGGCATGATGGCCACACCTTTAATCCCAATACAGGAGAGGCAGAGGCCGCTGGATTTCTGTGACTTCCAAGCCATACTAGTCTACAAAGTGAGTTCCAGGTCAGCTGGGACTGGGGCTACGATGAGACCCTGTCTTTAAAAAAATGAGAGACAGACAGAGACAGGGGCTGGAGAAAAGGCTCAACGGTTAAAGGCACTTGCTGCTCCTACGAAGGACCTGGGTTTGGCTCCCAGTACCTACATGGCAGCTAACAACCGTTTGTAACTCCAGTTCTAGGGAATCCAACACGCTCTTCTGGCCTTTACAGGCAAAAGGCACGCATTTGGTGCCCATACATGTAAGTAAACACTCATACACATAAAATTTTTTAAATCGTCAAAACAATGAGACCAATGAGGGAAGTATCTATCCAGGGAAGAATGACATTGGCAACGGAACGTGAAAAGCCCTATCGGTGCTGGGTGCACGGTGGCGGTCCTCCAGAAGAGAGGTGTTACAGGAGCTGGGGCAAAAGAGCAAGAGGAAGAGCTTGAAAACCTGAGATCAGAGAAGGTGGGAAGCGAATCGCAGCCTGGATCTCTAGATTTTAACTGGACTTCTTCGGCTACTTTTTTGAATGTCACAAAGGGAAGCAGCAGGAAACCCAAGGCCGGGGCGACTGCACCCACGTATCAACGGCTGAACCCGGGGCGCACCGGCCCCGGGGCTCACCTTGCGGGTGATATTGTGTACGTAGGGACAAGTGTTGCAGGCGAAGCGGTGGCAGCGCTGTCCCTCCTCCACTATCAGCCCGTTTCCACAGCTCGGACAGAAGAGCAGCATCGCTCCGGCTTCCCGAAGAGTCCCACAGCCTCGGGCACCGACTAGCCGCACGCCCCGGCTCCGCGGGAGCCAGCAACAAAAGTTGGCTCCTCATATTCCCAGTAGGCATTGCGGCCAGCAGCCTCGATCATCCCATTGGTCACTACAGATGACGCTCTTTCCCATCCACCAATAGCATGCTTTCTGCACGTTCCCAGCTTTCCCAGCGGCTGGCAGCCTCGCACGTCTCATTGGTCGCTGAAGCTACCGTCCCAGGGCATTAATGGCAGGGGCCGACACAGGTCCTTCGCATTTAGCCTCTCCACCTGGCGGGTAGTGCAGCTGAAGAGAGCGGGACCTGCAACACCTGGGCAGCAGCTGGCAGCCCTGGAGGACCCGGAGGCCGCCGGTCGCCCCGAGGCACCGGAGGACGAAGAGGATGAAGAGGAGACATTGCCGCACTCCGAGGCCGTCGATGTGTTCCAGGAGGGTCTCGCCATGGTGGTGCAGGACCCGCTGCTCTGCGATCTTCCCATCCAGGTGCGCGGCAGGGTCCTGGGGGTATGGATGGCAGCCACTGCCCCGCCCGAGGAAGGACCTTCTGAGGGGCACCAGAACACTCCCTCGCCAGGGTGCAAAGTTGAACAGATACTGATTTTTGTTTTTTGAGACAGGGTCTCCCTGTAGCCCAAGCTGGCCTGGAACTCACTGTGTAGACCAGGCTGGACTCCCATATCACAGATCCGCCTGCCTCTGCCTCCCGAGTGCTGGGATTGAAGACGTCCTTTCCCACACCCGAGATACTGATTTTAAACACGAGTTCGGTGTGACTGGTCTTTTCCATTTGCCACAATCGTCAATATGCATTTTCACAGTAATTCTGTAGTGTTTTTAAAGTCTTGCCCATCATGTTTTTTTAATTAATGTGTGCCTGCACAATAGTGGGAGCCCTTCACATGCTAGACAAGTGCTCCACCACTGACCTATACTGCTATCACCACTAATACTTTATGCAATGTTTTACTAAAATATTTCTTGTCGGGGCTGGAGAGATGACTCAGCGGTTAAGAACACTGGCTGTTCTTGCAGAAGACCAGGGTTCAAATCCCAGCACCCACATAGCAGCTAACAACTGTCATAACTCCAGTTCCAGGGGATCCAATGGCCTCTTCTGTCCTCCACAGGCATTGCACAACACGGGTGCACTTACCTACATGCAGGCAATACACTCATACACATAAAATAAAAATAATAAATAATTTTTTAAATATTTCTTGTCATCACTGGTTTTGGGTACCTGGTAAATTTTGCAATCCCGCCTCAACCTAGTCCTGAGGCACTGGCCTGGATCCTGTTCATAAAGGACTTTCAGTCAGTGTTCTTATGAAGCCCTATTCTCCCTCTTGTTCCCTGACACATAGTAGGCAAGAAACCCTTCTTGCCCTTCATAATATGGAGCACTTTTTGGACACTATCAGCTTGGTTTCCTTTGTTGTCTGGGTGTTTAAAAAAGAGCCAGTATGCCCAGTGGTGGCGCACACCTTTAATCCCAGCACTTGGGAGGCAGAGGCAGGAGGATCTCTGGATCTCTGAGTTTGGGCCAGCCTGGTCTACATAGTGAGTTCCAGTCCAGCTGGGGCTACAGGGAGACCCTGTCTCAAAAACACCAAAAAAATAAGAAATAAATAAAAAAGCCAGTGTTCCCACCTCAGTCTTTGGTCTTTCCTAGGTTACTTTAGAAGAAGTCAACTCCCAGATAGCACTGGAGTATGGCCAAGCAATGACAGTCCGAGTGTGCAAGATGGATGGAGAAGTAATGCGTAAGTACAATCCTTCCTTTAAGCCCAAGTTTTCACATCAACAAGGTATTAGCAGAGCTAGTCAGTGAGAAACTCGGGGCCATGCCCAATAGTAGAACAGCCACCCTACCCAACAAAGCACAGCCCACAGGATCTGGGTTTCTCTCCCACTGCCTGTGGCACTCTCGGTAGACTCCCACATGTCCATGGTTGCAGCTGTGGTCGTCGTGCAGAATGCCACGGTCTTAGACCTGAAGAAGGCCATCCAGAGATACGTGCAGCTAAAGCAGGAACGTGAAGGAGGCATTCAGCACATCAGCTGGTAAGTGAGGCTCCTTCTCTGAACCATTCCCAGGTCTGAGTGGAGAACCAAGTTTCAGCTCTTCATGTATACACCACCAATGCTCCACTACCAAGTAGTGACTGCAGGAGTCCTTGTCATGAGAGCCTTCAGACAGGTTGGGTGATTCTGTGCCAGGGTCCTGCCCCAATGAAGCCCCATTCTCCCTCCTGCCTCAGCTACTTTTCTAAACATACCCTTTCACTGACATCACCCCACCTACACTGCTGGGTATCTTCCCTTGGAGACCTAATACATTAGTGTCTAGAGGTCTGACCCTAGATATAAATGATAAATCTTCCCTCCTCACCAGGGTGCTGTTGGCCCTCACTCTATTGTATCAAGTATCCACTTATCTGAATCTCTTGGTATTATCATCTATTTCACTGGTGTTTGGTTGAGCTGCCTCAATACAGGGCCTCCTGCAGCTGAATCAGGCCTGACACAGCATAGGAAAAAAAAAAAATGGAAGGGGAATATAGCTGTCCTAAGCCCCTTAGGGCTGTGTAGTGCAAGCCTTTATCATCACAGCTGCTCAGCTCACACTCCTCAGGGTGGCATGAGCATCATTTGGGTCCCCTTCTTGCAGGTCCTATGTATGGCGAACATACCATTTGACCTCAGCTGGAGAGAAGCTCACAGAGGACAGGAAGAAGCTCAGAGAGTAAGTTGAGTCCATGTCCTGAGTTTTAGTCCAGGGTCTGTGGCCCTCTAGTGCTCTGTGTTCTAGCAGAGGGTTATGCAGGAGGGTCCCACAAGAGTTTTCCTGGGGCCCTCCATTAAATGCTGGATCTGCTTGTTCTCACAGCAATCTAGGGCCATATGGGGTGGGGAGGAAGGAAAGGAAAAGAGATGTAGAAAGGCTCATATGATCTGGGCCTATGGGGGACACTGCCCAGCCTCACCTGGTTTTTCTTGGTGACTTTTATGGCGGTTAGGCACTATACCTTTCCATCTTTTTCAGTTATGGTATCCGGAATCGAGATGAAGTTTCCTTCATCAAAAAACTGAGGCAAAAGTGAACCCAGACAAGGACAATTATTCTCTGGTGATCTGGAGTCTCCCAGCAAGATGGAGCCCTCTCCTGATACTCGCAGAAAAGGGTGTTGGGGTAGCTGCATCCCTGGTGTGCCTGTAACCCTGGTGTACCCAGCTGGAGCTGTCAGCATGAGCCCTGAGGCCCTGAGGACTAGGATAGGATGAGCCTCTGTCTCTTGCTTGCCTATGAATTTGACCCTGAAGATCTCACATGGCTATAGGCCTGGCCCACTGAATAAACCTGTTTGCTTTGTATATGGAAAGCCACAGTGTCCCATGTGAGAGAGCTTAAGTATTAGAGGTCATGCCTGAGCCTGACCTCAGGTCACACTACTTACCTCTTACCATGACCTCACAGCAAGAAGAAAATTCAAGCTGAGCAGCTAGCTTTCCTTTCTGTTGTGGGGAGACAAGAGCCTGCATCCCGGAGCCTATGGTGGGAGCCAGCAGGTGACACAGGTAGGAGTGGAGGGTTCAAGCCCCCACCTGCAGATTCCCTATAACCATGCATTCCCCAAGCTCTGTAGAGAGACAGCATGGTGGGGAATTAACTGCTGGCATGCAGGATGTTCCCCACTGTGGAGAGGCAGCAGCATATCCCTAGGTCCATGTCCAATACTATACAGAGAGGTAAAAGCCTGTAATGCCTATGATGTAGGGAATTGCACTTCCAAGTCCTTTAGGGCCTCTCTGCATAGCCCATCCAGAAATCAGGAAATGAGACAGCCCTTGTCTAGTTAGTGGCAGCTAAAACGCTCCCGGTCCATTTATTGGCCACATGAGGTGGTCGTCAAGGGACGAGTTAAAAGGTTATCATGAGAACTCATGTAATAAATGTCCAGCAGAAGAGGTCCAATCGGAGTGACAAGGCACAAGAGGTCTGTGTTCAGGAAGCACCATCTGTGTTCAGACCCCGGAGGCCAGGATGGTTGTGGCCGCCAATGCCCAGAGCTGGTTCAATGGAGCTGAGCATCCAGTTCATACTTCTCACAGAACTTGTCGGTGAAGGGGATGCAGGTGAGAAACTCACACCACTTACAGTGGACTGGATAGAAGTAGAAGAGTACCACCAGGCCGGCCAGCAGGCCCAAGAAGACTGCCTGGAAGATGATGATCTGGCAGCGCTTGCGGTACAGGTCAAACTTGCCAAAGCTGATGTAGGGCAGGAAGGCAAACGAAAGGAAGAGGCCACTTATGAAGCCTGAGATGTGGGCGAAGTTGTCGATCCACGGCAGCAGCCCAAAGGCAAAGAGGAAGAGCACCACAGCCAGCAGCTTGAAGAAGGCACGCCAGGGGCGTGCCAGGATCTGCCAACTCTGGAAGAGCTCCACAAAAAGGCAGGCCAAAATGCCAAACTGTGATCCAGCTGGGCCCACCTAGGGACAGGGTTGGAGGCTGTGAGCTAGTGGGGCTGCACAGTACCTGTTACACCCTTCCAAGAGCTCAGAGCCTCATCTTCCCATCCCACCTCCCAATTTCCAGAGCATATCTGTCCTTGACCCAGACGGGTCACGCCAGCCACAGGTGTACACCCACAGGGGTCCCCACCCTGAAAGGCAGTCATACCTCTGCTCTGTATGGCAGGAAGATGGCACTGGCTAGGTTGCCTGTGACACCACTCAGCAGGTAGATGATGGCTATACGGTGCCAGCCTGCCAGCTTCTCCAGGTCCCTCAGGACTGTCATCTGGAAGCAGACGGATACCAAACAATGCAGGATCCTGTAGGCAGTGGGAGGGAGGTACTCAGCAGAGAAGGCAGCTTCTTCACCACCTCAAGCCAGACACTCCTGGGGACTGAGGCCACCCGCCCAGCCCCCAGTCCCACTTGCCCAGCGTGCAGGAAGAGAGACAGCCACAGGCGGTAGAACTGGTCAGGCACCTCTGGGTTGAGAAAAGGCAGGAGGCCACAAACGTCATCCATACAGTGCACCTGTGCAAAGTGGCCAGTCAGCACCCGCAGTGGCTGGGGGCAAGAGGGGCAACGTCCTCAAGGCCTACCTGAGAGCAGAGTGTGGCCTCCTCGTGGAAGTAGCCCCTCATGAAGTCACAGTACTCCCGAGAGGTGATCTCACACCTAGAGGGTCATGCCAGGGTTTGGAGGATGCCCAGCCTCATAGAGGCTGCTGACGAAGGTTCAGGGACACATTCAACCCCACCCACTTTCCTTGGCCATTTCTCGATCCCTATTGCTGGAATCAGGTCATTTCAGGCTTTGCTGGGAAACAAAGGTGTTGCTCCAGACCAGCAGCACATGCACACTCACCTGCCTTTGGTGCCAATACAGCAGGGCCGGCCTGTTATGACACAGTCCATATGAGGGTGGTTAGTATGGTTTCCAGCTGTGTTTTTGGTGCAGATCTAAATCACAAAGAAGGATAAGTGGATCAGGGTCCTCCCAGCTCTTGGCCTGATACCCTCTTTGGGGACCAAGGCAAAGAAGAAAACAGCCCTCCCTTGATTCAAGATCACACCCTGAGCTGAGCCATCTGCAAACTAGAATAATGCCCTTGGCCTCTCAAATCACCTAGCTCTCTTTTTCCTAGCGGAAGGCCTTGTTGGACAGGCTGGACAAAGGCTATGGGCAATGTGAAGATGTCCAGTGATGGGAGTCTGTGGCATTATTAAAAATGAGATGTGCTTGGGAGGCAGAGGCAGGTGGATCTTTATGAGTTCGAGGCCAGCCTGGTCTACATAGCTCCAGGACAGCTGGGGCTACAAGAAGACCCTGTCTCAAAAAAGACACACAAAAAAATGAGATATGGCCTCCTCCCACATGACAAGGGTGACTCTCCAGCAGTCCTCCACCCTAGCTTACCGGCCACTTGGTGATATCTTCTGGCCACTCATGGGGGTCTTCTGAAGAGGGCTCATCACAGACCCTGCATGAGCACACATAGTTAGAGCCTTTGTCCCCTGGCAATGTCACCCACCCAAGAAAAGGAAAACATCTACAGCCCTTGGGGAGATGTGGACAAAGGCATCAAGAGGACAAAAAAATAGGACTCTCACCTAGGGTCTTGGTGGCAGACAGAACCAAACTGCCTCTTGTTGCCTGCAAGGTCTGGGGCACTGGGATGAACAGGCCACTTCACCCACACTGCCAATGTGGACTGTGGAGATAGAATCAGCTCTAGTCAGCGCCCACCCCTTGCTTAGTTCAGAGCAACGTGGTAGCTCAGAGTCAAAGACAAGGCCCTGAGCTCCTCCAACTCCAAGCAGCTGTTAAGTTTACACCCCAGAAACATACACATCCATAATTATTAGCTTAGGAACAGCCTCTGTCCTGAATTGGGGAATTGGTATTCGCTCTGGCACCTCCATACAAGATGAGGTGGTAGAAGTTTGGATGAGTCTTTCTTTGTTTCTTTTTTCTTTCAAGACTACATAATAGCCTAGGCTAGCCTGGAATTTATCTCAGCTTCCTAAGTTCTAGGATTACAGACATGTGCCACCTTTTAATCAGTGTAGGAAAGTAAGGCAGTCTTCACTTAAGACATAATGCGGGGGCTGGAGAGATGGCTCAGTGGTTAAGAGCACTGACTGCTCTTGCAGAGGACCCGGGTTTGATTCCTAGCACCCACATGGTGGCTACGAACCATCCTTAACTCCAGTTCCAGGGGAATCTGAAGCCCTCTTCTGACCTTCACAACACTGCACGACAGAGGTGCACTCACATACATACAGGCAATACTCATACACATGAAAGTAATAAAATATTTTTTTTAAAAAGACATAATGCACACAAATAAGACAGACACTGGAAAAGTTAACCCAAACCAAGGTCACACTGAAGGTCAAATGATCATCTACAGGAACTAAGAATGAAGAGCAAGGACAAGAAGGGCCTAGTGAGGTGCCACATGATGTGCCAAAAGCCAGAATAAAGAACTCTGTGGGGCCTAATCTGAAAGTAATAGCGGCCAATACAGACAGTGGGAGCTACAGGACACCCACCGAGCACTCCTCCTCGGAAGTCTGTACACAGCCAGACCGGTCATTGCGTACGCAGCAGGCAGATTGTTTCTCCCGTTCTCGGGCAACACGGATGAAGCTGTGCACCTGTGGGTCCTGGCGCATGCAAGGCGAGAACTTGGCACCTAGGTGAATGAGGGCCTCCTGTAGAAAGGGAGACAATAGCTGTGGCACTGTCAAAGCCACAAGGTACCCTATGGGGTACCGCCAAGCTCCACCTCCAGTCCCACCCTTACCGAGCTGGGACCAATCCAGAAGTTCTCTTGCTGCACATATTTGACATTCTCATAGACTCCCCGATTCCGAAGCACCTGGGAGGTTGGAAAGTGAGATTAGACTAAGTCTGCAGGGCCCTCTCCTCCCAGAATGGGGCCACAGCGTATAGAGCCTAGACTCCAGTCATTTGAGCCTGGAGAGAGTGCAGCACTCACCGAGTCCACCGTCTCATGCTGTGAGAAGCCCACAGGTGCAATGCCATAGATGCATACTGCTAGAATGGTGACAAGCGAGTGAACGAAGGTGAGCCAGTAGGTGAAGAAGGGCCTGTGAGGCAAGACATTATCAAGTACACCCCCAGCTTGGATTCCTAATCCACCCCCAGCCTCCAACCCAACACCAAGCCCTGCCTGCAGCAGCACAGGCCCCAGTGTACCTATGGTCATCCATGTCCTCGATCTGGCGCTTGACATAGCTGTCGATACGTTTCCGGTAGGTGCGGTTGGTGAGCCGTCCCACCATCCCCAAACCATAGGGTCGCTTTTCCTTAGCGAAGAGCTTGCGCACTGGTACAGCAATGCGCTGGCCCCTCCTGGGTCCAGCAGCACTCACCACCTCCTGGCGAAGCCGCACCTTGGGCTGCGGGGCTAGCGTACTGCCCTCCTTCTGCTTCCGCCAGCCTCGCTCCATGGGCCTGGAGGGAGCCAGCATGTTCACCTCCTGCCTAGACCCCACCTGCTGCCTTCCCTCCTGGGTGGAACCAGAACACTGGTCAGTATGTCTCCTGCCCTCCTGTGGATTAAGACCCCCAGCAAGTCATCCCTCCTCATCCTCCTCCTGACCAGTAAAAGTAACCTGAACCCCTTGCAGCTTGGCAGAGAGGGAACAGGGATCCTCGAGACTGAGGTTCAACACCTTATCAATGTTAACCACAGGTCACACTCCTCCCAGCTAGACTGCAGCCCCTGGGCTCTGGGATTTCTGCAGGTGAACATCAAAGTCTGGGGTCATGTCTACTCCTGGGTCCTCAAACCTACAGTGGCCAGGTTCTATTCCCTATTCTCTAGGCAATCAAAGCTATGAATACTGCAGCAATGTGCCCAAGGGCCCATTGCTCCCGATGGCACAGAGATTCTCCCGAACCCCTCACCCACCAGTTGCACTCACAGCATCAAGTGGCTTCGCTCAAGCTCGCTGCGATCCAGGGCCCCGCCCGTGAGGTCCGCCTGCTCCGGGGCTTTCTCCCAGTCCTTGAGAGCTGCCTCTGATGGGGACTCAAAAACCTCATCTGGATATGTGGACAGCTCCTCGTGAAGGACACCTTCCTAAGCAAAAATGTGAGGTCAGGGTAGATCCATAGACAGAGCAGATGGGACAACATCCCAGGCTCTTCTTACCCTGGCAAAGAAAGATGTGTCCAACTCATCAGGGAAGTCTACCATGTCTTCCTCCAGGAAGCTGGCAGGAGTAAAGCTTCGGCGCTGTCCCCTTCTCAATGTGCCATCCCTAATGGAGCGGCCCTAAGGACAAGAAGGTGACCTTAGGACCTGACAGTGGGCTCAGTGCCATGCCCCTATCCTTGATGCACCAGGACTTACCTTCACCAGTGCTGCAGCGGCCCGAAAGCTCATCTTGGCCACCGATTCACGCTTCCGCCGCCGAGGAAGCCGATTGAAACCTGAGCGGGAGCTGGAGAAGGAGCAGAGGGAGGCAGCACCTGGTGTGACAGGAGTGTGAGGGGCACTCAGGCCATCAGCAGTGTCATCGGCCATGCGGAAGGCCCGGCCACGGGCCAGAGGGTCTATGATCTGGTGGAGTCGAGGAGATGCTAGGTCAGCACACAGACCCAGGTAAGCCTTGCATGAAGAGCAAAAATGCTCCCTAAACCCTGGGCAACTATGTGGACATCACCCTCACCCACAGCTCCAGGGTTCCCTTTCCTCCCTTTTCCCTTGAACTTTCCCATTCAGAGTCTGGGCTGGTGCAATCCCATGGCTCTTTTCCTCCTAGGCTTCCCTCTCTGGGAGTATCTGAGGTGCCTTCCTGGAATTATGTGACTGCTTTCCCATCCACAAGGTCCTGACAAACATTCTCTCCCCAGCCCAGCTAGGGGAGCAGAATGAAGGAGCCTGAGGGAGTCAATAGCACACCTTCTGCATGCCCAGCTGGCATGGCCCCACATACAGTGGGGGTGGCGTCTCGGTGCTAGTCAGTGACACGTTGTCCTGGCTGGGCAGGTCCAGCTCCCGGATGACCTGTGGCTTCAGCTTCCCATAGCGCTGGCTGCAGTGACGGATGCTCTTGCGCTGCCACTTCTGGGTGCTGTCACTGTCCTTGCTCACTCCAAACCAGTCTGCTGTCCCCCTGGCATGGGAAGGACTCAGCAAGGGGCAACCAGATCTCCCCCCTCCCAGGCAAGGAGCCTTAGAGGCCAACCTCCTGGGTAGTGGTCCCTGTCCTAGACCTCCAGTCACCAGGGTCTGGATACCAACATCTAACTGTGAGAACAAGTGAGTTCCAACTCTGGACATCCCTAAACATTTATGCAACCCCAATTCTCAATAGAGCAGTCTGCATGCCTATCAGCAGAAGGTTCACATAGGTCCTCACCCCTCCCTGAGTCTAGAGAAGGATCTCCACCTCAAGCAGTCACCACCACCCTAGGACACTGCAGAACTCTACTGCAGGAGCTATAGGCTACCCACAGTCTTCAGACATGCAAACAAAAACATAACTGGCACCCACTATGAGAAGCCAGGGAATGCCAAGTACTCTAGCAGCTCCAAGAGGCCACATAACATGCACATGCAAGAAACACCAACACACTCAAGACCTGTATGAGGTACCTGAGCAGGGACCAAGAGAGAGACTGGCGCTGTGGGAGCGCCCTTCGGGCAGCCCGGGGCGCCAAGAGGGGCAGAGTATGGACACGCCCAAAGCGTACCTGTCGACTGTGAGGGGCCACGGTGTTAGGCAGAGAGACAGGAGTGCATGCCCAGGAAACAGGAAGGGGGAGTGGCAGCCAAACATCCCCAGAACAAGAGGAGAATGGAGTGTTATTGGGACTAAGATGGAAGAGACAGCTGAGACAAGAAGGACTTTTGTCCCATTCTCAGCCCCAGTATCTAAAGGGGGTTCTGTATGCTTGCCTTTGGCCCCCAGCCCCAGCCTGTGGAGCAGCAGGGGCAATGTGGTACCTGCGGATGGTCTGTGTAATGGATGTCTGGCGCTGCAGTACTGGCCGCCGAGGCTCATGGTGGGGTGACGGGACACGGGCTGTCTCAGCTGGCATACTCACACTCCGAAGGAAAGCCTGGCGCCGCAGGGGCTGGGCAATAAGATGATGGTGAGGAGCCTGGCCAGGGCATACCCAAAGCCCCTGCTGGCTAATACCTACCTGCAGGAAGCTGGGTTCCTCTGCTGCTGGGGGCACCACAGCTGGGATATCTAACTTTAGCCATGGAGGCTTCTTGCGTTGCAGACTGCTGGTGCTGTCTCTTCGGGCCTCACTCATGGTTCCAAGTGAAGTGAGACAGGCCTGGAGGTGTGGGGTTCTGTTTAGTAACAATGCTGATAAGTCTCCAAGGACACAATGGGTCCAGACCTGGAAGAAGCAATGTAAGCCCAACAGGGATGCTCACGGCTCTCACTGTCATGCCCTATTACATGATGACATGCTCTGTTCCTTACCACAGACAGGTCCTCCAACAACATGGACAACACTGTGCATCCACTATGAGCAAGACACTTGGTAGTGCTTAGCACACATTGGTGGAGGGCTCCTACATGCCTGACAATTACAGTCTAGTTAACAATAACCCTATAAATAAGTAAATGCTCCGTGTGATGGGCAGAAAACAAATTACAGTTGCCTGGCAGTGGGTAATAAGGACTTCCTGACAGCTTAAAGGTAAAAACAGCACGGCTGGATTGTAGGGTTAAGCGTGTACAGAGCCAGCAGGGCAAAGTCAGTACAGGCACAGGGCTCTACCCCATCTGTCCCATACCATCTTAACTACTATGACTTCCATGCCAAGGCAGATGGCCACTGCACATATGTGTGGGTGTATGACCAATCGATCATACAGAAGACTTGCTACACTTAGAGAAAGATGTAAGATTACAGAGCAAAAACCGGAGCACAAGGCTCCTTTGTGGAAAGGATGGTCTGAAAAATCCCTTGTAGCACAAGCCACAGTGACCATGAGGTGGCACCATATGCAAAAAAAAAGGCAGTGAAACTGCTAGGCAGGGACAAGTGGGGGAAGCCAACCAGAATATCTAAGACCCTAAACCTATCATACAAGGGGGCCAGTGAGGTGGCTCAGAGGGCAAAGACGCTTCCTATACAAAGCCTGAGTTCATTCTCTGAAAGCCACATAAAGGTAGAAAAAGAGAACCGAGTCCACAAAGTTGCCCTCCAATCTTTAATAGTAAGTTTTTTATTTGGTTGGTTGGTTTTTGAGACAGAGTCTCCCTATAGCCCCAGCTGGCCTGGAATTCACTATGTAGACCAGGCTGGCCTCCAGCTCGCAGAGCTCTGCCTGCTTCCACCTCCAGAGTGCTAGGATTGAAGGCGCATCCCACCACACCCAGGTAAAATAAAACATTTTGAAAAAATGACAATCACAGCCAAAGTACATCTACCCAAGAGAAGACTCAAAAGTCTGGGGAGTGAAGAACCAAACTCAATGGGGACACAGCTAAGGGTGGGGCTTCCTGAAGCGATACTTGAAGGGCAGAACACCCAAAATCCTTCAACCTCTGCAAAGCCTGCAGATCTCAACAGGGTCTGGGCTGTACTGATGCACCAAAAATGGCTTCCACTTAGCAATCTCCCTCTCCATTCTTAGAGAAGGTCCATTCTCACTGTATAAGCAGGGGAAACTGGGGCCTGGAAGGCAGTAAGGCTCAGGGAGGACTTGTGGACCTGCAGAGCTGAGGGCTCCCTCCCAGCTGGTTTACCAGAGACCAAGGAGTTCCCCAAGTCTGGCCTGGACCCTATGAAACCCAGGAGAGGAGCCAGGTACCAGACATTTCTTGCCTTGGTCCATCCTGAGGGACCACTGGGCCATGGAGAGAAATCCACAAGTGAATGCTGGGGACTGGCCTCTCTAGGAAGCTAGCTATTTGTGCTCAGAACTTCCAGGTGACATCAACTGGTACCTTACTCAGGAATGCAACTGCTTTTTCCACCTGGGTCACAGCCACTAGCTTCCATGGTTCCGTGTCCTTGTTCCTGGCTCCCTCCTACATCAAGATCCTACAACATGCTTTCTACCTGCCTCCCCTATATTCTACTGACATTGCCTTACCTAAACACAGTGTGGCAGCCAGGGTCAGTCTTCAGGATGTGGAGACTCCAGAAGATGACCTTTCAGTAGGGCCTGGAAAGAACAGCTGAGCAGCCTGGTTGAGTGGGAGCAGGAAGAGCACAAGCTAAGAAGGCTGTGAATAAGTACAGGGAGTCCAACCCAGCCAGTTCCTGCTGAACACCCAGGGTCCCCGTCTACAAACCCCTCCAGTACTAGGGTGAAGGAAGGTTCAAGAGAATCCACATGATTTTAAGCCTGAAGGAGGGGAAGAGGATACCCACCCTGCCCTTGTGCAGTGTTCCCAACCTGCCCCACCCTATGCTGTTCCTAATAGAGCCTCAAGTGAGTGGGATTCAAAGGCCTGGGGGAGGGGCATGCTCAGGCTGGACAAAGAGTCTGGGCCAGGGAGCAGCACACTGCCAGCCCACAGTGGCTCAGTGTCTAGATCTCCCCCAGGCGCACAGTGGGCTCTTGTTCCCTGACAGCCCTGACTTTTCCCCTCTGCTGGCCCCAGTACAGTGGGAAACCATAGCCCATGGAGAGGCAAGACTGCCTGGGGTCACACACCATGAGTCACCCCAGAAGCATCAGGAGCCGCCCCAAAGGGAACCAGAACCAGAGTAAGTGGGAAGTACTGGAGAACAAACCCAGAGGTGGAAGGTGAGACCAAATCAGGTATGGCAGTAGCACCTTGTCAATACTCCAAGCAGCTTAAGCAAGATTCCAGTTGAGGCTGAGAAACAAGGAGGGTCAAGGAGCTGCTGAAGCACTACATCAGAATCCACCCCACCCTTGGACATGGTATAGAGGGTAGGTGAGGGGTTGTGGAGGGAACAGGGATCCATCCTGCTGTGGGACAACTAAGGACTCTTCAGGCTGGCCCTATGCATGGGTATAGTTAGAGCCAGGAAAGCTGATGGGGCAACCTAGGCCAAGAAACTACACATCAATGATTCTACCACTTACAAGCATAAACACACCTCAGTTCTTTTTTTGTTTTGTTTTGTTCTTTTATTTTTGTTTTTTTGAGACAGGGTCTCATTAGCCCAAGCTAGCTTCATACTGACTGTGTGGCCAGATTACCTTGAACTACTGATCCTCCCACACCCTCCTAAATGCTGGGATTACAGGCATGCACCACCACTCCTTGCAAGCCACAGTTTTCCCATCTGAAGTGCCTGGAACACCGTAGGTGCTCAATAAGTGACAGCTGAATCAACAGAATGGGTAATTTCCTGAGAAGTAGGAAGAAGACAGCCAAAGCTGCAGTATAGCCCAGTCTGGTGGTGCACATCTGTAACCCCAGCACTCAAGAGCTCAGGCAGGAGGAGTTCAAGTTTGAAGTCAGTCTGGGCTACATAATGAGACCCTGTCTCAACCAAAAACAAAATAGCAAAGCTGTAGGTGGGAGCTACATGTGGGAGAGACATAAGGATGCACTTTGCAAAGGTGTTGAGTACCAGGAGGTGCAGCCATGATGCACCAGGAGACTCAGGAGCACACTGGTCACGGCTGGTGTGAAACTGCATCCTCATGGTCCAGTTGCAATGACTGCTGCACTCTAGCATCCTACTTGAAACCTGTCTTCCCTAATCTATTGCCCAGCCCCAAACTGATCCTGGGAAAGGTGAGCACCAGCCTTCTCTAGCCTCTATGCGAGCCCTTTACCACATTATTAATGTGTGGCCAGGGGAGGTGATCTGCCTCATCTGTAAGTGGCATCATACTGAGAGTACTTGCTGGGCCTTTTGTGAGCCATGAGGCACTCCAGTCTCCACAGTGGGTCCTCCATTTTCAGGTAGGAGAAACCCATTTCAGTATGGGGCAGCACAGGCCTGAGACAAGGCCTTTGCAGTACCCATCCTCATCTCCAGAACACACTAGATTTCACCCCCCTCCCCATCACCCATCACCCCTGAGAAGCACAGAGGAAGAGAGCAACAGAACAAGAGATCCCCTGCTGCAGATAGCCTGCAGGAAGCCGAGGCCCAGGAAGTAGAAAAAGCTCTGGAACCCAGGGGAGAGTGGTACACAGGAAGGAAAAAGGCCACTCCTGGGGATGGTTGCCACCCAAGGCTCAGTCAGCACACATAGCTCAGGGGTCTCTTATCACCAGTCAAAATCTCTGTCCCAGTTGGGGCTCAGAGACCTGTCCAGGCCACCCAGTAAGAAAGTGACTTGAGGTAAGGAGTTAGCTGTACCAAATTCTGGATTAGTTACCCACTAAACTAGACACTCTGGCCCTCAGTCTACAGTCCAGCTGGGTCTCCAGATGGAGGGGGGAGGCACAGAGTTCCCAGAAGTGCCCTGACTGACTCCAGACATCTTCCACTCAGCAATCCCTCACAGGGATGACAGGAAGCAGGATAAGACCCATGAGGCTCCAGGAGGGAAAACTGAGTGCAAAAACAGCTTCAGTCATCAAGAGCCTAGAGGACCCCTGCCTAACTAACCCCACTGATCTTCCATAACCCGTGGCAGAAATCACTTATGTCTATCTTACAGATTAACTGGTATTCAGAGATGCCATTCACTGTCTGAGGTCACAGAGGCTGACGGCAGTTCAGCACCTCGGCCAGGTCTGCGACAGCAGCTTGCAAAGTACCTGGGGGTGGGGAGGCGAGGTGGGGGCAGTCATGACCCTCTATGGCCGTCCCACCCCCTAAACACAACCAACCCAGAAAATGGTCAGAAGTCAAGGAATCTGATCCTGAGACAGATTATCCTGTCCTACACGAAGTTTGGGGGGAGGGGTCCCTCACATCCAGGGAAGGGGCTGAGAGGTTTCACAGAAACACCAGGGGGGTTCCCTGAGCATGGGCTGGCAACAGAGTTAGCTAGAGTGATCGTAGGGGAGGGCCCTGAAGGTCCTCCCGAAGCAGGAAACTTGAAGGCCAGCTCCCCAGATGAGCCAACCGTGGGTCACTTAAGTGGACCTCCCTGTAGGCTCCCTTAGGGCAGCTAGCTGGTCATAGAGGCTATGTAGAAGGCTGGGAAAAGGTCTCGAAACCAGTGTCTTCAGTCTTAGGCCCACCAGACTCGCTAGCTCTCGTGGATCTCGAAGTAAGGGGTCTCAAAATGACGGTGGCGGAGGACTCGGCCTCAGGGACCTCTTGAGAATGGGCCAGCAGCAGAGTTCCCCAGCATCCTCCAGGCCTAAGGGCGGGGGCAAGGGGCTGGGGCTCGCCCCATGGAGGTGGGGAGCACCTTGCCTGGGACTGCCCCGGCTTCTAGGTGAGCTAAACCTGAAAAGCCAGTTTCATCCTTGAATCTTCTCCCCGCTCCAACAGGAAGTTGGGTGGGGGGGTTCCCAGCACCGAGCTGGGGCCTCCAGCTCCAGGCCCCGCCCACGCAGACAGCCACTCTATCCCAAGAGGCGCACGGAACAGGAACTCTGCTCAGGACTATCTGAACGGAAAGAAAGGCTGGGGGGAGTCCCCTGCCCATTCTCCACTCTGCACTACAAGCGTGCCCCCAGCAGGACAGATAGGCCCTCTGGCCCATTCCAGAGCAACGAGGGTCCAACTATCAACCGCGAAGCGGAGGCCTACTTCAAGGAGCAGGCGGTGGCCTCGGACTCGCCCTCGCGGCTGCTGCATAGGGCGCAAGCGGTCTTTGGAGGCAGTTCCCGAGTTTACAGCTGGGTCCCGAGCTGAAACGGGTCTACAGGGCCCAGCCGACCTCCCCGGCCCACAGCTACTGCTGTTACTGCGGTGAGCGGCGAGGGCGCGGATCTGGTGGCCCGAAGTCACGCTGGGAGCAGGAGTTTCAGACGTCGCCCTCCGGGGGCTGCGGGAGGACAGGAGGGTGGCAGCGCAGGGGCCGCTCCGGGCGGCCGGGCCCTAGGGTCCAGACGCGGGCCACTGCCGGGCTGTCGGGCAGCCAGGCCGCACTAATCCGACCACGGGCTATTTTTGTGGCACGCGGGGTAGGAAGCCGGACCGGGCCGCCTCCGCGGGCGCTCAGGAAACTCCGCGGAGGGTCTGGCCGCGCTCGGCAGACACGCGCCAGATCCAAGCGTAGGAACCCGGCTGCCCCGAACCCAGTGCAAAGAACCCAGTCGCTACTCACCGCCACAGGGGTCCTCGGAGGGGCGTCCGGAGGGGTCTCCACGGGCCGCCGCCGCTGGCCGGGAGGGCGCCCGCCCGGCCTGCCGCCTGGGAATGCCATGGGCCGAGGGGCGTGCGCGCCGGGGGCGGGCCCGGCCGAGGGGCGGCCGCGGTGACTAAGGGCCGAGGAATGCGTGCCGCCCGCCCCAGGCGCCTCCTCCCGGAAGGCTACCGGCTGCGCTCTCCCTGGCGGCCGCAGGCGAAGACACCTGCGACTAGGAGTCAGGCTGGAGCGGGGGAACCCCTACCCAACACTAGACTCAATGTGGGTATGGGATCGCCTTTCCCTGACTCTGGGGTTGGTCTTCCTCTTGTCCTGCCCCCAATTGTACCTGGGAAGGGAGGGAGGGGGGGTGTGAGGCTCCTAAAGACCAGCTTGAGCTCCCCTTCCAAAGTCACTCACTGCCAAGTCACTAAGTCTCGTGAGTCCTCGCTTCCCGCAAGTACACACCCCTGAGCCTTCATAGTAAATACTCATATATTCAACCCATGCACACCTGTTTATGCACAAATGCGCACGTTACTAAAATACACTTTCATGAGTTCATACTCATACCACTAACACATTTACACTTGTACACACTAACATTCATACACCAATGCACAGCGTGTCATGCACACCCTAGCACGACAATTACCCCTTCCCCTACTTCCTTTCCCCCAGCAGGTGTAGAGGTCAAGCTGCACCTGCCCCTCCTGAAGCCATTGAGCAGAGTGGCAATACTATTCCTTGTGTTCACTCTGCCTCAGTACTGAACCACCATCTCTATGCAGAAGTTCATCCCTGTCTAGATTGCTTTTTGCTTTCAGCTGAGGCCCAGGGCTAAAGGAGAAAGAGACTGCCCTGAGGCTGCCCTGGTGCAGATGTTCTGGGCCTGTGTAGCCGACACATGCCAGTCCTCCAGCTATGCCAAGCCAAAGATGGGACAATCTCCATACCTAGCATTCTTGACCCATACCAGGAATAAGCAGGGCCTGGATGCCCAGACTGGACTGGCTGGAGTTGGTGTCCTTTCTGGAAAACCAGAAACAGGTCACACTTAGCTATCTGGTGTCTGTAGGGCCCTTTCCAGGAGTGGATGCTGTAGGGGTCCACCTAGACCTATGTTGAGACCTGGAGACCTGTTCCCAGAGGTAAGAAGCACTAGCTATACCTGGCTCACAATAAAGACACACCCTAGTCCAGAAGCCCACCATCTTTTTTAAAATTTTTATGTGTATGTGCATGCAGGTGCCCACAGAGGTCAGAAGAGGACATCAGAACCCCTGGAGCTGGAGTTATAGCTAGTAGTGAGCAGTCCACTATGTGTGTGAGGAACCAAACTCTAGTCTTCTGCAAGAGTAGATAGTGTTCATATCCACCAGCCATCTCTCCAGCCCCAGAGTCAGTCATCTTCAATGCAAAAATTCCACAGAGAAGGCTGCCTACATGCAGTGACAGGAAAATGGCTTTTCAGTATTCACTGCTTCCAGGGCTTGCAGTTCCCAAGCTCCAGGGGGGATCTACAGCAGCTCTTCTTGCAAACCTGGCCACCCCCAACCCCAACACACACACACCCCA